CACAGCGCCCAGCCTCTATAGTGACTCCTACACCTCACGATGCAATCAGTTTCGCGAAAAACTCATCGAAGGTCTTCGCACGAACCTCCCAGAAAGACGCGGTCTGTTTCTTGAGCCAGTCCTGGTTGTACGTGGTGATCGCCTTCGCAACATCAGTTGAAACCAGCTCCGCACACCACTGCTCGCTTAAGATCGGCAACGTCCAAAGGTGACCCCACAAAGGGCACTCATTCTCCGTCGCCGACTTCAACCCAAAGTGAATCGGCTGACAGAACACACCGAAGGGTACATACATGATGGCGCCCTTGGGCAAGTACACCACGTTGGAGGACCCCTGCATGAACTTGACCCCCTGCGGTGACTCAATGAACTTCTCGAAGTTGGCGAAGACGATCCCCTCCGCCAGGATAGCCTTCATCGGGATCAGCGCTATGTACATGCCAGGCGCGCTGATGGCCTGCACGAAGGTGGCCACGCCTGGCAAGGGCCATGCCTGGCATCCGAACCTCTTCTGGTTCTTCCGACACGTGGCCAACCAGCTGCTGGCCCCTGGATCGTTGATCTTGTCGCCCAGGTCGCAGCCCAGGGTGTCCTCGAAGTGCTTGAACTCCGCCCTGTTGCTCAGGATGGGTGCCAGGGCGCCTGACCAGCCCTTGTTATCCTTCATGGCTTGGTCAACCTGCCCTACCACAGTCTCCAACCTCGTCGGTGCCTCCTGCTGGTACTTGGTCAGCATCTCCACGACGCTGTTCTCGGACATTGTGAAGCACGCCACCTTCTTGAAGTCGAACGCGGCTGGGTCCACCTCCATCTCGTATTTCACATTATCTTCACCCTTGAACTTGCCCGCCGCGGCGGGGACAGACTGGTTCACTTCTCCCTCTGGCTGCGACTTCTGGGCCTCAGCAATCTGCTTCTGGATATTGAATATATGCGCGCCGTAGACCTTGCTCATCATCTTGCCGTGGCAGCCCGAGCCGAGCGCCTTGACGACCTTGTCGACCTCGTAGCGCCCCTTGTGGTAGTCCCTCCTCTCGGCCGCAGCGGACTCGTGAACCAAGAACTCCATGGCCTCAACCTGTTCGGAACACATCCTCGTGAGCTCGGGTGTCTCCGCCACTAGCGCGCCCACCTGCTTCTGGACATCGTCGAAGTCGTCCTTCTTCACCTTGTCGACGCGACAACTTTCCTTCTTCACCCTCTCCAAGTAGTCGTCGATCTTGCTGATGATGTCGTCGGGTTTACTCGGAAGCGAGTCCACGTTGCAACCCTTCTTGACCGCAGCCTGGTGCAGGTTCCTGATGGTCTGCTCGAACCCCTTCTGGCCCACGAATGAGGACTTGCACTCGCCGAGTATGTTCTGCATGGTCTTCTTGTTCTGCAAGAACTGCACTGGGCTCATCTTGGCGCTGCCAGTTGCCAGCGCAGCCATCTGCTTGTCGGCCGTCCTCGCTGACGCCCGTGCTTTCTTGTTCGCCTCGCGGGTGGTGTCCACCTGGCTGACGCTGTCGTCGGGGTCCACGTCGTCTTCGCCCTCGGAGTACATCAAGGTGAGGTGGCTCGGCAATTTTTTCTTCCCCGAGCTGGCTGCTGGCGATGTCAACGTGGATGGGAAGC